CTGTTCTAAAGCTCTCTTGAAGCAGAAAGGACCAGCCAACAAAAGTATTCATTGCTTTTCCTTCTACCATATTATGTTTTCTCTAACAGGACAAAGCATTTCCATCAGTTCTGCTGCTTTGTCCATTTGTGAAATCCTCAAGGTGATGCCCTATAATTCTTGTAAGCAAACAAACTCTCTCTTATGTAATTAGCCCTAATGAAGGTGATTTCTGCTATTACAACTCTCCTCTGTGTCTCTTGGTCGCTACAATCCAGTGATATCAAGTCACTAATTAGCTTCTATTGTGATGGCTTTTCTTATATCTATGTGCTGAGGACAATAATACTTCAAAGTTTAAATGGTGAAGACTGAAAGTCTGGAAAGACATGTGCTCCCTATATTTACTCCCATCCAATGGATCCTGAAGAATGTTATTTCTCCTGGCAGGTGCAGATATTAAAGGCTAGGGGCAGGAAGAGTGCTGTTTTTCCTCAGCTTCCTAATTCAGTCAGAAAAGGGAACACAGAGAGGCAATTATCCTCAACTCTTTCAATTAATCTTTGAATATTCTGTGTCCATTTTGCCTATTAATTGTTGTCAAAATATCTAACTCTGAGAAGTGATTGATGGTCATATTTCTTTGATAAAACCGGAATGGGTTTACTCTTCTGATTGAATATACTTTTATCTCAACACAATCTTTTGTAATTTTATCATTGAAGTGACTTGCTTTTTTGGGTCATGTTTCAAAAACCAGAGAATTATACAATACTCGAGTTTAGGAGGGAGAATTTTCCCCTTTTTCAAAAGAGAAATAGAGCACTTTGAAGGGTGTGTAATTTGCCTAAAATTGCAAAGTTATTTAACGAGGTAGCATGAGAATAGATATATTCTATAACTCAAGCTAATACCTCTCTTTATAGTCCATGATGCCTTTGGCTATCATCCACTGATTTGAACTTCAGGCTATTTTAAAGCTTATAATTTAGAATGGCCTTTGTTAATTCATGACAAGAAAACATTAATATGAATAACTTATGAAAATCAAAATATCCTGCTGGATATATATTCTACTTGTGAAAAAAAGAGAATACATATGATCACTATCTTTTATAATCTTATTACTAGTATGATAAATTCATTATATTGTTATTGTGCAAAATATTTGACTCAATTATTTGATGATCATACATTACACATCTCTGAGAAGGAAGGAAAAACTTGCTTCTACACTTGGAATGAAGGGAAAGTGAGATGAAGGAAAGAAAAGCCTAAATATTCCCTAAACATGATTTTGATAGAATGATACGTTTTTCCTGATACCTCAATGTCTTTACAGACCCCAAATCATATAACAATCACGATCATTGGTGATACTTCCTAAAAAAATATTCTTTCTAATTTTTAAAAGAAAAGTTATATGAAATTGTTGTAGATTACGTTGCTGAGGCTTTCCTTTGAGAACAATGTTTAAATCCCTGAAGAATTCCATCCATACGTCTGGACCTGTCAGATGTGGTAGAGATGCAAGGAAGCATTTTCTTAGTGTATGTATGTAAATATCCAATACTTGAAGCTGCAATAGACACTAAGAAATAATCCCCCTCAGTTACCCTTAGTGACATATGATTGGTTTTAATTTCTAGAGGTCTCTGAAAGTTATTTGTGATCGTTTAGTTGACTGAAAACAGAAGCGATATAGCTACAGTTAGACTAAATTCTTTGCAAAATTGTGAAACAGGAGATTTCATTTTTAGCATTTCATACTTTTTACCTATTCTTTTGTTTCTTTTAGATTCCTGACTCTTCAAGAGCTCCCTCAGCTACCTGGGACCTACATGAGGATACAGCATCTTGTCCTATCTCGCCTCTTTGAAGACAGTCCATCTTGGCTACAGATACACTGAGTCTACTTCCTTCTTATCTAAAAGTAAAATTCTTTATGATTCAGCTCTTCAGAACCAGGTATGTTTTCTTAGGAGATATGGAAGTAACAACTAAATTTTATGACTGTAGATTATAGGATATCTCCACACTTTCCATTTCATCTTAGGTGACAGCATTTTTGTCAGTATTTTTCTGAAGACCACGTGCCAGCATTTGTCTCCATAGTGACTGTTATATCTCTGATCTGGATTATGTTGGGAGGGTGAAAGGAGTGGCAATACTGGAAAGCTTGTGAAAGGTGCATCTCTGAACTGATAGATTTTGCCGGCATCTGTAAACTATACTCTTACTTAGTCACTTCATCCACCAGTCATTATATGCAAATAGAAGTATTGGTGAAAGATTTATTTGACAGAATTTCAAATAGGAGGGACCTGAGAGTCACCTAGAACAACCGTGTATGCACGCTTTAATTTACCATCAAAATAATGTATGAATCAGATCACATCATCTTTGGGCATGTAAAATTATCAGAAAATAATTACTTATTCTTATCTGAAAGAATACATTATTAGGAACATTTTCATATATTTAGTCACTACAATTGATTAAAGATTTCTCGTTTACAGAATTGTTTAATAAACATTTTCAGTGTCTCTTTGAGGATAATATTATTCTCAATATTTAATATTTGAGGATCAGGAGGCCTGAAAGGCAGATGATCTGTTCAGTGTGATACAGGTGCCGGATGACACAATTATGATCTTAACATAGAATTTTTTTATTCTAATAGCTTTATGTTTTCTCTACAGTATAGTAATTTTATTTGGTGTTAAAAGACAGACCATTTCAACTAAAAAGGAATGTGCTAGGGATTAAGGGGAAATGAGGATCTACCAACCTCTCTAAATGAACAAGGGATTATGAATATTAGTAAATGATCTTCATGGAGGCAAGTTATAAACCTGACTAGTCTATCACCATTGCATAGCACAGTGAGCTGGGAAAAGCAGCCATTTACACACTTACAGAGTAAATGAACTAAAAAATAATGCATTTATATTAGAAGTAAAGAACTAAATATTTATTTAGAGTTTCTATTGCTCATCAATTTGATTAAATCAATTTGCCCAACATTTTCCTCCATGGAAAGCAGGACCTTTCTTTTTCTGGGCATCCCTAAAAGTCAATGACAATGGAAGAATACAACTTTGCGGAAGACTCATTGGGAGGATGATTCTTGTAATGATTTTCTCATATAATTGGATTAGGTATTTTGTTTCTAAAACACTAGAAAGTCTGCTCTGCTCGCAAATGCCTCTTGCTGCCCCTTTCTGTTGTAGCTGTAGGTCTCCCTGGGAGACTCATTCCCTCTGCTTAAGGCTTTGCTCTTTCTAATAGCGTACATATGAACCCCTATTAGTTGCTTTTGTGGGATATTATTTCCTTTCCTCTATCTAGGGATTCAATGCAGTATTGATGTCAAGGGGTCTAAGAGTAAGGGTGTTTCCCAGGGAGGAGAGGCCAAGGTGGGTGCCTGGAGTTAACCTGGTAACAAGAAGCTCTCAAAAAATGATGAGGAGTGGAGTAACCCACTGAAGAGAATGTGGTGGCTCCTCAAAGACAAACTTGTTCCATTGTATAATTTTACTTGTAGCCCATTCTGACTTCAAACTCTACTTGCTAACCTCTTCTGAAAATCGTGGAGTCATAGTTTTGATAATCTGTGATAACGCGTGAATTAAATTTTTTGGTGGGTTTTCTAAAGAATTGGAGATTTGAAATATAGGGATGAGTCCCTAAATTTGGTTTGTAGGAATTAAACTTATTCATCACAGCCGTGTCGCGATGCATAAACTCCTCGGTGAAACTCAAGGAGACTCTAGGCAATTTGAATTATGATCTAGGAAGATGTTAACATCAAAAATTTCAGGTGATTAGAAATCAATAATCACCCTCTCCCAAGACCTGTAGAGAAAGATTCTTCAAAAGCGGATGCTTCTTTTTATTTCACCTTTTATTTTTCTTATTCACCACACAACTTTTCTAAGTTCTAGACAGCTTATAGAAGTAAAAATAACATAAAAGGGAGAAAGTTCTGATAAAATAGAATGTAGAATAACCGATTAGAAAAGAAAAAAAATTTTTCTCATGGTCTGAATTTATTGCTATGAATACTCTTGTGCAATATAATTATAATTTTTAAAATCTCCACCAAATCAAATAAAGTATCAATCATAATTCAATAATATGTCTATGGGTATTAACACCAATAGCTGATTTAAAGAAGCTTAGTGTCTTCAATAAATACTTGAAAGAAAAAATGCACTAGATTCCTTCATGTAATGGAACTCCATGTAAAGCTGAATCACAGCTCTAGGAAGAGTTCCAATAACCTCTGGAACTTTTGGTTTTGCCATGGTTTTGTATTTCAGTTTCTATAACTTGTAACTGGATAGAGAAGGAGATAAAGACCTAATCACTCAAGGCAAGGATTCCTCCTATGAGCTCTCTCACACAGTGTAATACTGTCTCTTTCTCTCCTGTTTTAATTTTTATAAATATATAGCATACACACAAAAGTGCACAAAGCAGAATTGCACATCTAGATCAGTTTTCACAAAGTGAACACTCCCATGTAATTATCTACCACCTCAAGAAACAGAACATTACCACAACTTCAGAGCTCCTTTCTGTCCCCTTATTGTTCCTATTCCCCTTCAAGGATAACCACTCTTGGAGCTTTTTTAACACTATAGACTAATTTCTCCTATTTTTGAAATTTATTTAAATAGATTAATACAGTATACATCCTTTTGTATCTAACTTTTTTTGGTCAACATTAAATTTGTGAAATTATCTTCCTCTGTACTGAATATTCAAAAAAATTTTCTTATATCATTTATTTTAGAAAAAATGATTTAGATTTTGTCTCTAAATTCTTAGACCTGAATTTCTGTAATATCAAAAAAACTTTTTAAATATTCAATTTCATTTGTAAATTAGTTGATTACGTTCCTTAAATTCATGTAATTGGATATACCAATTGGTCAAACACCTTGACAACTCTCCCCTCCATCCTTTAGTAGTTTTGTTATGCTGTCTATATAATTTTTAATGATGCATGAAAATTCAGACACACAAATATAAGTAGAAATTAGATTCCCTAAGGATTGAAGTGGAATTGGGAAAGCAAATTCATGCTCAGTTCATCAATTGATATCTGTTTCTCTCCTATACAGGTTACTGAAGATAAGTCCGTTCCAAATTCAATGAATGAAACAAATCAATCTAGAGTGACTGAATTTGTGTTGCTGGGACTCTCTAATTCCCAAGAACTCCAATCTTTCTTATTTGTCATATTTTCACTATTCTACCTAGCAATACTGCTGGGCAACTTTCTCATCATCCTCACTGTGACCTCAGATTCCCGCCTTCATACCCCCATGTACTTTCTACTTGCAAACCTCTCTTTTATAGATATATGTGTTGCCTCTTTTGCCACCCCAAAAATGATTGCAGATTTTCTGGTTGAGCGCAATACTATTTCTTTTGAAGCCTGTCTGGCCCAGATTTTCTTTGTTCATCTTTTCACTGGAGGCGAAATGATGCTCCTTGAGTCCATGGCTTATGACCGTTATGTTGCTATATGCAAACCGCTCCACTACCTGACAATCATGAGCCACCGTGTATGTATTATTCTCGTTCTCATCTCCTGGTGTGTTGGCTTCATCCATACTACTAGCCAGTTGGCATTTGCTGTTAACTTGCCTTTTTGTGGTCCAAATCAGGTAGATAGTTTTTTCTGTGACCTCCCTCTAGTGACCAAGCTGGCCTGTATAGACACTTATGTTGTCGGCCTACTAATAATTGCAGACAGTGGCTTTCTTTCCATGAGTTCCTTCCTCCTCTTGGTTGTCTCCTACACTGTGATACTTGTCACAGTCAGGAATCACTCCTCTGCTAGCATGGCAAAGGCCCGCTCCACATTGACTGCTCACATCACAGTGGTCACACTATTCTTTGGACCATGTAACTTCATCTATGTGTGGCCCTTTAGCAGTTATTCAATTGACAAAGTCCTTGCTGTGTTCTACACCATCTTTACTCCCATTTTAAATCCTGTTATCTACACCCTAAGGAACAAGGAAGTGAAGGCAGCTATGTCAAAACTGAAGAGTCGGTATCTGAAGCCTGGCCAAGTTTCTGCAGCCATAAGAAATGTTCTTTTCCTGGAAACAAAGTAAACTTACTGAACTGTTACCACTACAGCCTTGTCTCTAGACATTTACAAATGGAAGCTCTGTAATGTTAAACCAAATCATTTTGACCAGTGGGAAGGGTTGAGTAACTTGAATTAAAGGTTAAAGGTAATAATAAAAAGCACAATGAATTTCAGCAATTTAAATCTTCTCTTCCTTCCATTGTGTTTTAGTTGTCCTTTTGACTTTCTTTCCTCTTTAATTCTTAAAATTTAAACTCATTTTAAGATAAAGGTTACTGGCTTTGAAGTCAATGGCACAATGTTATTTACTGATAAAGTGTAATACATTGGGCCTTCTGTGGGTGGAAAATGTATTGTTCATACCCCAACCAATGGAATGATTTTTACTGTATGTGTATAAGAGAATGCATTTTTTAAATCAATTTTTTAAATTGGGAGAATATTGATGTGTATTTACTGTTTTGCCCAGTTTTATGTTCACTCTCCCGCTATCACAGGAGAATATTTTGAATTCTCTTCTGACTAGTTGTTTGGTGACTCATAGGATTGCTAGTTTCCCTGCACCAAGTCTGTTCTTCAGTGCAAACTTCCCTGCCACTTGGGTTTTACGGACAAGGCAATCCAATTAAATGGACGTATTCATGAGAAGTAAGGTACATTATGTGGATTCACTAGCAAGGCTGAATAGATGAGTCCAATGCTAACTCTTAGGGTTCTGGAGAAAAACTCTGAATTCATCAACAGAGCACTACCCACTGTCTGAAAAGCAGATGCTAGGATGCTACTGGGCTTTATTCGGAAGTGAGCTCCTGATCATGGGTTAACAAGTGACTAAGACTTTCCATAATTTAACAACTCACAATTTCTATCAATCAGGGCACCAAACCATCATAAGTTGTAACTGGTGCATCTGGGATTAGGCTGAAGCAGGTCCAAAGGCACCAGAAATCTGTTTGAACAGTTATTCCTGGATACCACATCATCTACTTATGTCACATCAACACTTCTGCTTCAGCTCAAATATATGTCCTCATAGTAGGTTTGCTATGACTAGCTGGCAGAAGAAGAAAAACTCAGTTTTGGTTCACAGATTGTACCTTACTACATTTGGGAATATGCCAACAAATGGGTTACTGCTACGTTATAGGCCCATTCAAGGTGACCAGCTATTACACTGGTGAGGGATAACCCCTTTAATGGGAATAGCCTTGAACATTTTACTTGATTATCAACTTTGGACAGAGAATCGGCCTTAGGTAAAAATAGACATGAATTCCTGGATAGTGTAAAATGGTTTGGTTGGTTTATTACAGGCTATAGCAGAACAGAGAAAGGGGGTGTGGAGAAGAAAAATGAGGACAGAACTAGATGAATGAACGCAAAGTTTGTGGATCTTAGTTCTTACATCAATGCCCACCATACACCATCCTCCACTGAGAAGGCAATCAAGATCTAGGGAAAGGATAATCTATCTGTCAGCCAACATTTTTGCTGTATCAACTCCATGCTTACATAATGGACACGTGAATGAAACAGCTATGGAAGCTGGAACTTAGGCTATGGATGTGCCCCAAAACAGTGGACTCCCTTTCATTAGGTTTTTCTCGCTACTGCCACAGCTGCTCATAAAACTTTACCTGCGAGCAGAAGAGATTGACGTTGAAAACTTGTCATTCGGTGGCAAGTCAATTACACCAGATCACTTCCTCCACAGAGGTGATAGTGATTTGTCTTTATTGGAATTGATTTCTACTTCAGATATGAGTTTTCCTTCTCTGCTTGCAACCTTTCTCCCAGGATCACTATCTTAGGACTTAGAGAGTGTCCAATTTATGGATATGAGATTCCACAGGGATTGTCTCTGGCATGGAACACATTTTATGGTGAAAAGATTGTGGCAATAGGCACAGGACCATGAGATCCAATTTTGCTGAATGATTCTAGTCTCAAAAAACAATTGAATACCCAATTAAAGGCTCAGAAAAGAGACTAGAATCGTGGTTACACGTTGCTTGGAGACAATGAACTCCAAGATGTGACTTATGCATTGTATAGTTAATACGTAATGCTGTGTTATCAATAGCTAAAATATGCATTCTAGGAAATAAGGAGTAGAATTAAGATTGTCCTTTCTTTCTATCATTCTTGGTGATCCACTTGTGACTCTTTTGCTTCCTGTCACTGCAGTTCCGGGGTTGGCTGGATTGAAGATTTTGATTGCCAGAGGAACAACACTTCCTTTAGGGAATACAGTATGATTTCCACTGAACAAAAGCTTTGACTACTACCTGGCCAAATTGGAATCTTCATGCTGATGGAACAGAAGCCGAAAAAAAAGAAGAGTCACTTTACTGGCGAAACCAATGACTTGGTTAATATGAAGAGCTAAAGTTGATGTTATATAATGCAGACTGTAAAGAATATAACTGAAACTTAAGAGATTCACTGAGGTGTCTCTTGGTGCTTCCCTGTCCAGTGAAACAGTAAACAGTTGCAAGAACCGTACTGACCATGCCTCAATGACAAAGGTTTAAATCTCCGATCAGGCATTTAACCAGGACCAGCTGAAGTAATGATCAAGGATGAAAGTAATCTAGCATGGATGATAAAGGAAGGAAGGGATGGATTTAAATTACAGACTTAATCAGTTACAGTATTGCACTATAATTTATTCCAGCAACCCTCCTATGATCTTTTTTTCTTCTTAATATATGATCAATCATCACCTTAAAGAGCCAGTGGCAGAGTGAACTTATTGTGAGGCACAAGCAGCTCTTAGCAATGCAAGGGGTAGCAAAGATTTTTGAGGTACAGAACCACAACTTCTTGCTTCACCTGATTTCAACATAGTGGAGAGTTTTATGCGTATAACCAGTTTTCTACATCAAGTACATTACATAGAATATCTCTGCTTTGCTGTGTCAGGGCTAATTCTAAAGCCAGGGAAATATGCTCAGCTGCACAGGCATAGCCAGAACTAGGAAACAGTTAACACCCCTGGAGGCAACCCTCAACCAGTGGTGGTTGGGAGTCAATGGGTAAATATCTAGCCTACTATGAGGTACATTGAATCTGGTTCATCTGAGTCTTCTAGGAACATCGAGGCTCAGTTCCTCTAGCTGTAACTAGCTCATTAATAAACTCCTTATAGGTTTTCTTCTTCCATGTTTTACTTTTACAACTTCTCCACTCCTCCCTACAGGGATTACATCCTAAATATATTACCTTCAGCCAAGACGATGGCTTAGGTGGTTCTGCTTTTGGAGAAACCTAAACTAAGTTATTTTATAATATAAACCTGAATATTAATTTGTTCTTGTTACTTCTCACAATTTTGATGGGTAGTACTTTTATTATTTATGTTGAAATGTTTCCTAATTTCCATTTCTAGATTTTTTTCTTTGGCCTTTAACATGTACTTCTCATTTTTCTTTATGCATGAACATTTTTCCAGTTATATATATATTTTTTATTTCTAGTGTAAATGTATTGTGGTCACAGGACAACCTTTCTTGACTATTTCTTTATTTTCTGGCACTATAAAATGCTCTAGGCTTATCCTGTATTTCCTGCCCCAGTTTTAGAATCAGCCATTTCTCCAAGGACCAGCTCTGGTTCCTTTTAGTGAAGATGGTATTTAGAAACCAAGATCTGAGCACTGTGTGTGCTTGTGGATTCTAGGATGCCTTTGTTTTTATTCCCTTTAAGCAGACAGAGCTAGGTAATATATGTATTATACTAATCCATGCATACACATCTATCTATCATTGTTTCTGTATCAATCCATCTATATCTATATTAAAATAAACGTTAGTTCATACTAATGTCTCTGACTCTAATTCAGTACCACAAGGGTCATTCTAGCCTTCCTTCCTTTCTTGTTTATCTGCAATTTACCTAACTAATAGTGAAAATTCTGACTCCCACTATCTGCCATCCAGTAACTTATTTGTTCCCAGCTTTATTGAGGTATAATTTACAAATAAAAATTGTATATATCTACAGTGTACAACACGATGTTTTGATATACATAATTCATTGTGAAATGATTACCACAATCAAGCTAATTAACATTTCCATCACCTCACATAGTTATCATTTTTTTTAATGGTGAAAACACTTAAGATCTACTCTCTTAGCAAATTTCAGTTGTTTAGTACAGTATTATTAACCACAGTCACCCTGCTATATATGAAATATTTAGAATTCATTCATCCTAAATAACTGAAATTTTGTATCCTATGATCAACATCTCCCCATTCCCCCATCCTCAGCCCCTGGCAAACACCATTCTACTCTCTGCTTCTATGAGTATAGCTTTCTAAGATTCCACATATAAGTGATATCATGCAGTATTTGTCTTTCTGTGTCTTGCTTATTTAACTTTGTATAACGTCTTCCCAGTTCATCCATGTTGTTGCAAATGGCAGGATTTCCTTATTTTTTAAGGCTAATATTTCATTCTATGTATACACTACATTTTCTTTTTCCATTCATCCATCAGTGGACACTTAGATATTATTCATACGTGGCTATTGTGAATAATACTGCAATGGACATAAATGTGCAGATACCTTTTTGAGATCCTGATTTCAATTCTTTTGGATATATTCCCAGAAGTGGGATTGCTGGATCATATGGTACTTCTATTTTTAATCTTTGAGAAAACTTCATTGTGTTTTCCTTAATGGCTGTAACAACTTACCTACTCGCTAATAGTACAAAGGGGTTTGCTTTTCTTTATACCATCATCAACACTTATCTTTTGTTTTATTGACAATAGTCATCCAAGTAGATGTGAGATGATATCTCATTGTGGTTTTGATTTGCATTTCCCTGATGATTAGTTATGTTGAGTGCCTTTTTTTTTTTTTTAATTTTTTGTTTATTGCAGTAACATTGGTTTATAACATTGTAAAAATTTCAGGTGTACATCATTGTACTTCT